TACTCGACTTTTATACCTTAAATAATATCATGATTAGATGATCTCTTCCTTCAATAAAATTCTCCATCGAAGTGCCTATCTGACATTATGTGTAATTTCACTTTGGATTCACCTCTGCATAGGATCCTCTAGGCCTTAAGCAATATTGGGCAAACCAACTATTTTTGGAATGCGCACACCAATTGGTTTGATTTTCACCAATCAAGACCTCCAACACCAAGTTGTGAGGTTGTGTAGAATCTCTAGATAGTAGACTTTGGATTTAGGATTGTGGTGAAATCTCTCTAGTGTTTAATATAGATTTTAGGTTTGGTTTTCACAAATCAAGATTTTCAATACCAAGTTGTAAGGTTGGATAAAATCTCTAGATGGTAGCCTTTGGATTTAGGGATCTATGATTATGGTGAAAGCTCTCTAGTGTTTAAGATAGATTTATCTCTTAAAAGACTGTATAAAGGCCTACCCTAGCAGTAGGTAATGCACTCCTCTATTTATAGGCTCAGAATAAAATTAATTTTGATCAACAAGAAAACTCAAATTCGCAAACGATCATTCAATCGTTGCAGGGCCGTCATATAGCAGTGGTCTCGAGAATGACAAACACGTTTCAAACTAGCCTAAGATTAGGCCGCTCGAGCAACCTTGGAACCGCTCGAGCAGCCTGAAGGCCGGTTCTACTCCCCCTCCATTTGGTCTTTTCCCTATTTTGTTTCTAAGTCATAAAGAAATTGCTCTAGCAAAAGCTACCGAGCATAGGGCGGTCTCTATTGATTTTTTAAGCCTAAAACCAAACAAAAAACTTGTCCTTTTAAGCACTAAGAGTATTGCTCGAGAGAGGTCCTCTAATAGCTCAAACAATATTTCAAAAATACAAAACAGTCTTAGAAAATATTTTCATTGAAAAATACCTAGGAGCTATACACAAATTAATCCAATTCTATTTTAACTTTAATCCTTCTAAGTTTATTAAACCAAGATATCACCTTAGATCTCTAGGTCATTACATTTGTCCTAAACTTGAAGTTGTATTCAGAGTATAAATGATATAACTTTGACGTTGAATTTCCTTCCTTCGATGACAGTTTCAAATCTTCAGTCATTGTAATATCATGACCATGAAATAGGTTTAGATTTACAATAAACTTAACAAAATTAGCTAATTATGAACATATTCTTGACAACCTGAACATCCCATATCCAGATTTCTCTTCCATCACTATACATTAGACTAGAATTTGGTGAAGATTAGTGATAGGAAAGAAAAGCAACCTTAGTCAAGATATATTTATGTCTGTGTGTGTGTGTAAGATCAGTGAAGTCCAAGACTGAAGTTGGTTAAAGAAATCCATGGGCGAAGATTTAAATGTATATTAGTAAAGCTATTTAGAGAGTCCATTCCAAATAGCTCGAAAATCATCCACAACGCCTCTACTCTCCATTCAATTTGCTTGACAAATTATGAAGACTTGATTGCCTTATGGATTTAAAACCTAGCAGATGGACTCGAATTTGATCAGTGTGTAACTTCGCCTATATGCTTTATTGGAGGGAGTTCAAACCCACATGGGAAATATAGTTCGTATGTGTGGACCTCAGAGTGAGTTCGCTCAAATGAACATGATGAGCTAAAAAGTTAACTTTGTAGAGAGACTTTAGGAACAACAGTTCTGATACAAGGAATACTGTATAAAGAGCTCTATCGGAAGCAAATCTCCAATAGGAAAGGGAAGAGCTCTGAAAAACATCTGCCTTAGTAATCAGCTCTGCCCCACATGCAAGTACTACGATGAAGGATAAGGCAAAGGGATGGCAAACAATTTAAAATCAAATTGGATAACGCCGATTCTATTCTTAAAAGGGATAGTAAGCTTCATCCCTATAAGAAGATACGCGAGTCAAGACCTCTCATACTCGAAGAGTCTTATCCTCCTAACTAATGGATGAGTGGAGTCAAAGACCCCTCACTTAAAAGGAGCCTCATTCTCCTATCCAATTGATAAGGGAACTTAAAATCCACTCCCATAGAGATCTTATCCTCCCAAACAGCATATAAGGAAGACTAAAGTCCACTCCCAAAGGAAAATTGATCCCAATAAAAATAAAGAAAACTCAAGAAAAACACACCAAGTATGCGACTTTGACTTCATATTCGCTTTACCAGAATACTGACTTAAACATCAGAGAGTTAACCCCTAAGTTCCTCTGATATCCAACTTCTTTTTCAAGTGATTAGTGCTCTGGAGAGCTAACATGGAGACTGCACCAAAAATTGCATCAACAGAACTTGAAATATTTTGTTGATAGAGAGGTCGTTTGGATATAAGCCGAGTGACTTGCTTACCGTGTACTTCTTTTGACTTCTAAATCTTATGTCCCAACTGTCCCTTTTTCAACCAATCCGAAATGGTTCTAGTTGAAGTAGTTTGATAGGGAAGATAATCTCCTAAGCTGCTGAGAAAACTTTACGGTTATTATTTTTGAAGTCTCAAGATTTGAGTTTCGCAAGAGAACTCCACCTTACCATATTGTGACTGTACACCTCATGTTTAGACGTAACCATGGGTGCAACGAGTGTATTGTTGGAATGATTATTCATTACCAAAACCACTAATCATATATCATCCTAACAATGGCATAAAAGGAATCAAGTACAAGTTTAATAAGGCAGCAGATACTCAAAAATCACAGCTTCTGACAATCCCAATGTTGCCTCTCCTGCTTCAGTAATCAAATTAGCATTGTGATGTAGATAAGAGGGAAGAATTAGGGATGAGAAGAGAAAAAGAAAGGGATGAGAAAAGAGAAAGAATTTGAGGAGGAAGTATTTAATAATAATCAATAATAATCAAAGTCTGCTAAAATAAATATCATATTCCTTATATATATAAGGAGAACACAAACTCTAAAATAAATAAATAATCAAAAGGACAACTAAACCACTTAAAAGCAAAATGATGAATAACTTCTTATTCTTACGTCTGTGCCTACTATAACAAAATATAATTCGATTCCTATCATTTTCCCATTCCTGAAAAAGAACTCGCCTCCGGAGAGATACAATCATGATAATGCTCTAGAAAATCAGAGTCAAGCCGATGAAACTCCTCCCCAGTAATTTATGAAGCATCAATTTCTGGACGATCTCTCCTCCGAACAAGATAACAACGATATCCTCCATCCGAAGAGCTCACAATCTGATCATCAAGTACATCTATAATTTGGTCATGTAGCTGTGGTGGAAATGGTGGAAGAATAGGAATTGTAAGTAATGTTGATGACGAAGCAACTCCACCTGTAGGAACATCAGCTGACAACATAGGAGGCTCAAAAGTACCATGATAAGGAAACAAGTCATCCACATTGAAAATATGATAAATACTCAAATTCGAAGGTAAGTCAAGGTGATATGCATTAGGTCCAAGCTTACGAAAAATACGAAAGGGCTAGTGGCTCGAGTATATAACTTTTTGAAAGAATTTTTAGAGTAACGTTCAGGACGCACACGAACCATGACATAATCTCCCATAGTACATTTTGTATTCCTACGGTGAACATCTGCAACCAATTTATAATTCTTTTTACTTAATGTAATTTTCTGTCTTATGTCGACATGTAAGTCATGAATATGTTGGGCAAAAACTTCCGCTAAGTGTGAAGGGCGAGAATCAGGAGGTAAAGGTAATAAGTCAATAGGTTGTCCAGGGGACTGACCATAAACAATCTCAAAAGGGAATCTACCGATCGACCTGTTGACGGAGTTGTTATTTGCAAATTCAACAGTAGGCAACAACAAATCCCAATTTTTCATCTTCTCGTCCACTAGACACATATGCAAATCTCTCAAACTACAATTAACAATCTCAGTTTGACCATCAGTTTGGGGATGAAAGTCAGAGGAAAACTTAAGACTAGTCCCAAAGAGTTTTTAAAGTGTCTTCCAAAAATAATTCATAAACTTGACATCCCTATCAGACACAATGAAAATAGGCAACCCATGTAGTCGAACGACCTCTCGAAAAAATAACTTTGCTACATGCGAGGCATCGGCATACTTAGTGCAATGAATGAAATGGGTCATCTTAGAAAACCGATCCATGACAACTAGAATGAAATCATGATTATGGGTTGTTTTAGGTAATCCTAACACAAAAGTTCATACTAAGGTCTCTCCATAGTATATGTGGAACTGGTTATGATATGTACAACCCAGTGTTTTGTTTCCTAACCTTTGTTAACTGACAAGTGTTACACTGTGATATTATCCTAATAATGTCACGCTTCAAAGTGGGTCAACAAAACATATCATCAACAAGTGCAAATGTCTTATCACTACCAAAGTGCCATGCCAGACCTTCCACCTGTAATTCCCAAATGTCAATCGAATTATATTTCGTTATAGTAGGCATAGACGTAAGAATTAGAAGTTATTTGTCATTTTTTTGAGTTATTTTTATAATTTTTCTGGGGGTATTTTTGTTAAGCACAAGAGACAATGATGACTAGTAAGCGATAAAATCGATACTGAGTCAATAAGAGCAACTGCAACGATAACCAGTCAGCGATGAACAATTCGCATGACCAGTGCGCACGATGAAATTAATCCTGAGTCGACAAGAACAACGCCAGTGATGATCAGTCAACTATAAACAATGCGCTTAAACAATTGCGCGTGAACAGTGCAAGTGAACAATGCACACTATAAATTTGAACTTGAGTCTACAAGACCAAAAATAGTGCCCGTGAGTAGTATGTTTTTCGATGAACAAATTTTTATTTTTTTGTAATTTTGTACAAATCAAATTTACACCCTGATACCAAATTGAAGTTTGATTGGAGAAATAATTAGGGAATAGAAGAAAAGAATAAAGAGATGAGAAAATAGAAATAGTTTGAGAATGAAGTATTCAATAATAATCAAAATTTGTTAAAACAAATATCATATTCCCTATATATATAAAGAGAGCACAAACCCTAAAATAAATAGTTAAAATAATAACTAAACCATTGAAAAACAAAATAACAAGTAACTTATAATCTTGACATATGTCCTACTATAACAAAATATAATCCGATTCCTATCACACTGCCATTAATTACAAGTTACAACCGTGATAATACAAGCAAGCAGCCAATGAATAATGCAGCTTCACTCTTTACACACTGCCGAAGTGAGCTCAAACTTCACCTCTTCATGTCCTCAAAGTTTACACCGTGAAAGATAGGCCACTAGCTAGTTCAAAAACATCTACCACGATACCAAGGCACAAAGCAAATGAACTGATTGTAAGCCTATGAGCCAAAGATGATGGTTGTGGTTTTCAGCAGTTGAAGCGCCTGAAATCAATCTATCACATAATTAGGTGCCACAGCTAAAATCCTGTCATTTCTAGATATTGATGAAGCCTGCCTAGCATTTTCACCATCTTCCACCGATTGCCTCCCATCATCCAAGACTATCAAATGACCTTCCCTTCGTATCAAACTCTGTGTCACAAGGCATTCGTTAAATAGTATGCCTAAGCTACTACGTTGCATTAAAGTGAAATATACATACTAAATACATTTGAACTTTAATATAAATTTATACCTCTATAATAGCTTTAACTTTAGAAACTTCAGCTGCTGCCTCCTTCATGGAACTGTATTTGTTTTTCTCATTCTGCTGATCCACATACCATTGTATCAAATCCCTCTGAAGCATTCCAGCTAACCCAGTCCCTACAATAAAGAGGCATATCAAGAAGATGTACTTTGATGGAAAACTAAGGACTACGCAATGCTTATACGACATTTAGGCTTGCTGACTATAACTTCTAAGTCAACGTCTAGGATCAAATTCCAAATACAAAGATTTAGAATGCATCATTTTCCAGGAATCATTTTTAGACTTCAGAAACGTAAGATTCGATTTAACTAGAGTCCATTTTCACGATTGCATCTCAGTAAGTTCATTAGGCATTTTGTAAGAAAGCATTCTTTGATAAAAGAATGCATGCGGTTTACCTTCACGCACTACAGTTTCTTCATGCTGCCTAAGATGCATGACAATGGCATGTGTAACCCGCTGAAAATATTCATCGGTTATGACAAGTTTCTTCCCCTGCCGGTTTGCAGGCCCTGCACCACTTTCTGCAAGACGGCATTCTAATTCAAATAGGTTTACTTGTCTGCTATTAAAAAAGGCATGAAAGAGAAATATGCATATGCGCTAATATCATGTACATTACCCCACCTGCATTCTCAGAAGCTGACTCAACAGCAGCACATCTAGACTGATCTACATCAGGGCCAATAACATCTTCTCCACCATCACCATCATCATGATTCTCTTCTTGAAATTCAGACAGATCAATCTCACTTGACTCCACACTGCATGGTATTTGAAATTACCCGTCAGAATATTACGGGAGGAAATGTGTCCATGTGACATGTATTCATGATTTTCTTGCCTGATAATTGAAGTTTTTAAAAGTCTCACAGCAAGACGTACATGGCGGGCGTATACCTGTAAATAACATATGCAATCGAGTTAAGGGTGGATACATATAGAAACGTCATTCGAATGTTTTTGGTTAGGTAATTTAGGAACCTGAACTTCCATATAACTTCGAGCAATAGCCTCTGATAGCCTTATTAACGCCTCCAGCTGCCTAACTGTCATGCGATAAGCAACTCTACTTCCTGGAGCTGTATCACCTCTACGAAGAGCAACGTAAGAGTCCACCAACAATTGTCTGGCTTCTGCAGTTAGCTGCATGATTGCAAACTTGCAATCCAAGTGAATGGACATTTCAAGTCAAAAACTGCATCCTAAATATGGTAAGAGTGGACAACAAACCTTGGGTTTCAGAGTCTTTCCATATGCAATGTAACGCTTCAGTTGTGCTGTAGTGAATGGAGGAGCAAGTGCATCTTCACGCTTTTGATGAACCCTCACAATGTGGTGAGCGATGTGGTAATCTGTTTGATCGTCTGGGTCATCGATCATAACATATACCAGATCAAACCTCGAGAGAATAGCAGGAGGAAGAGCCACATTATACTGTAGAAAAAGATTAGAAATATTAATCCACATATGAATTTTCAGAATCCATTGTCCATAATGGTTGTATACTGACCTTTAGAGGTTTAGTTTTGTCATAGCGCCCTCCAGTAGGATTGGCTGCAGCTAAAATTGATGTTCGAGCATTTAATGTTGCTTGTATTCCTGCTTTAGTTATGCTTATTGTCTGCTGTTCCATCGCTTCATGTATTGCAACCTTTGAGTTCATGTACATGTGAGAAGTTGCTACTTCCATAACATGTCCCATCAGGAAGAATATAAAACAAAGTTGAAATGAGAAAAGAATGATAACTTACCTGGTCTCTGATGTCCATTTTATCAAATTCATCAATGCAACAGATGCCATTGTCAGCAAGCATAAGTGCACCAGCCTAATATTACATAATTCATCAGCAAAGAAAAAGATGATTTATCAGCAAACTGGAAAATGATTACAGTTCTTAGTTTGTGATCATATCGTTTGCACTCAGGATAGTTGTACAACAACATTCTTACCCAATCTGTAGAAGTACAATATGACCAATACATAATCTATCAGAGCCCAGGTAAGCTAATCACTTAAAAGATTGTATTTTGGAATGATTGTTGAAAAACATGATGCACTTTGTTCCAGTATACTAAATCGAGCAATTCAAAACCTTTCTTTACCTATATCTCCCCAAGTTGAAAACTTTGCTTGTTTAGATTTCATATCATCATTTTATTCACATTCTTACCAGATCTGAAGAATTCCTATTTGTCCAGTACAAATTCTATCAGAGTTCCAGAAATGCTAATCCAAGATTTGTTCTAGGACACTAAAATTTAGAATCCATAACATTTTTTTACCTGAAATGTTTTAAAGATATTACCTAAAGAGTCCTGCCCCTAGTGTACCACACTATACAATAAGTAAGGTGCCATGTTCCTGTTTCTGTAGTGTACTAGAATGATCTGCTTTGCAGGCAACAGTGAGTTGAATATACATCAGTCTGTGATTCTATGTGGCAAAGATATAAATCCCATGCATCTAATTATCCAAATTGGTTTTAGGGCAGTATTGACCTCTAAATTACTGTTTTCTGATGATGGAATTCATTTTCTATCTCATGCATGATTGCCATACACTAACAAGAATCGTGGGCAAATCTATCTAAATCATATTTCTGTCAGCTGCTTCCATTTCAATCTCTTACAGATCTTCTCTAATGGACTTATAAGTTTTCCTGGTGTCATATATGAATTCAATTCTATCCACAGATATGTTTACAGAAGTAGTCATCCAAATGAACGACTATGGGGGGTCGACAAGCATCACTAATGAACTTGGTCAGAATATGTCCAGAGGCAAAATTAGATTTGGTTTTAGAAATACAGGTTAGCTTAGGTAAGTCCAATAGATTTCTCCTTTTAGGCGATGTTGATCCCTGAATATCCTAATTCGTCCTTTTTATCTTTAAAGCAACAGTTAAGTGGCATGTCAAATGGAAATCTAATATCATGCTTTTGTCAATGTTTATGAATTGGGTAGTGAACATGATATTAAGGATATGTATGGAACTTGTACTATAATTCGATTGCTACCTCAATACAGAACTCCCCAGTCACATGATATTAAGGATATGTATGGAACTTGTACTATAATTCGATTGCTACCTCAATACAGAACTCCCCAGTTTCTGGTTCTTTGGCTACTGTCGCAGTCAACCCAGCCGCAGACGACGACTTACCAGATGTGTAGACAGATCTTGGAACTAGACCTGAAGTGTACCTTCAAGAGAAGATAGAAAAGAGCAATTTAAAATTTTAATCTGTAAGAAGAGAGTGATGAAACTGAAAAAGAACAGTTGCCATACTTGAGGAATTGAGACTTCGCACAGCTGGGATCGCCAACAATACAGACATTGATGTCCCCTCTCAAATTGATGCCTTCATGCGTAAACTTGTGAACGCCTCCCAAAAGCATAAGCAGAATTGCTCGCTTAATATCTTGATGACCAAATACAGTTGGGGCAATGCTATCAACAAGCTTATTGAAGAAGTCGGGGGTGTTTTTCATCCGCTCGAATTCAACTTGCTCTTCTCTCTGCAAAAACAATCGATGTAGCAAAAAACTGTGATTAGTTCAGATTCACCATTATCAGCAACAAACAACCTACGAAGCACAATGCAGGTAAAATTGCCGATGGATGTAGAAAATCATTCAGGCCTTTTAAACAAGAGAATGATCACTGGATTTTTAAGGATGGAGATATACTAAAGAAGTCAAGTGACCACAAACTATTATTACTCTTAGAAAGAATAGAAATAAATTCAACTGTCAAACACTTCAGAATAAAGCTCTTGATTTGACAGTCAAATTAATTCGTAAACATGATCTTTAGGCACCTGCCTATGGGTTTTCCCCAGCCCATTCAACCACATGAAAAATATCCACCTTTATTAAGACAATTCTTTGCATCTGTTCCACAATCTGAGCGTTCTGGCGAGTGTCATGCATTAGGTGTGATAATGATGGATTTTGGCTTGGGTCGCCCATTCGAAGCCCAAAACGCCCAATGGGTCCCTGGTTACATGACAGCCTAAACGGCCCATTCGCAGCATGCCCACCAGCCATAAGAGTGGACCTCAACCCAAGGAAAGGAGTCCAATGACGTCCAAATCAATATATGTCTACTCGGTCATATCAAGCTCGACGGAGTAAACCAGTCCGAGAACTAGGAGCTTGGTACGCTATAAATCCCAAGCCGCTCCCATCGCGTCACGTGTCCAGGGGATAGAGGGGCAACTTCTAGAGGCCCTAAGGAACAAACACTTCTTGAAAAAATGAATATTTGTTCGTATACCGCTTTGAGGATCGTGAGCACAACATGCGTTAGAGTGGCAAACACCACTACAGGAAGAAGGAACCACAGAATCAGCCAAAAAAAGGAAAGAATTGCAGAAAATCCTAGATGACCACGTGTATAAATAGAATACTAGAATACGAAAGCACTGTATAAGGGTCCAAATTTTTATTTTTGCAATATACAAAGTAAAAAAAGGCTCTCACCCAAGTAACTCACTGTAACCACTGTCTTCTTCCTCAAACAATACAAATTCCTAAGAGCAAGAGCCTCCGTTACAATAGATGTAACCTTAGTATTTTTCAACTAGGGTAAACCACTTATATTTTGTTTTTTGATTTAACATCGACACTTGCTTTCTTATTATCTCAATATCAACGGAGTCCCCACTGGGCCTCATACAGTCATTGTTCTACAATTGGGGACAGTAATTTCAAGCACCATCAAGGTGAATATAACCAGACAAAGATCTTAGGTTGAGCCATGATAAAAATCGACTAGCAACAAGTATAATTTATGCAAGACTCAACTAGTGCCATGCCTTCTGATTTGATCATAGTTTCTTTCATGACCTTGCTCTTGGTTTAAGGCCTAGTTATATGTAATCTCTAGCCTTATACAGTAATATAGTGCTTTGTATGGCCTCTGTCTTCTGTCTCCTCAACTTAACTTTATGCTTAGCTTAGTGATGGAATGCCAAAGCCTTTGTTCATTGTCATCGGTGGGGAGCCAATGAATATTTACACTGTATCAAAAGGCCACCTCAAGTGTTCATGGACCAAGATATACACGAGATACATGATTAAGGTCTTTATTAATGATAATGGTAGATTTCAGCCTGGGTCACCCACTCAAAGCCCAAGCCCAAGCCCAAGCCCAAGCAACAGCGTGCGCGCCTTGTCAAGGAAGTGGTCCACAACCCAAAAGAGAAAGCCCAGTAGCGTTTAGTTCAATATATACCTGCTCGATCATCTCAAGCACGGTGGGTGGACTAGCCTGGGAACGAAGAGCTCGATATGAAATAAATCCCAAACCCCGCCACGCCACGTGTTCGGGGGACAGGGAGACAGCTTCTGATGATCCTAACGAACAAATACTCCCTGATAAAGGGAATGCTAGTACACATATCATTCGAGGATCATGGGCACAACGTACATCAGAATGACAGACATCGCTACAGGACAAAGGAAAAGAGGACCACAAAATTAGCCAAGAGAAGGGAAGAATCGCAGAAAACCCTAGATGGCCATATATATATATAGAATACGAAAGCACTGAATAGAGGGTCTTGGAATACCATTCTCAAGAACCAGTGTAAGAAGAAGGCTCTCTGTCTAGTAACCTCCTGTAACCATTATCTTCTACTTCAAGCAATAAAAATCTCAAGGAGCAAGAGCCCCTATTATAGTGGATATAGCCTTAATTCTTTGGTTAAGGTGAACCACTTTTATTTTGTCCTTTCATCTATCATCAACAATTATTTTTCTATTGACACAACATTCATAAAGCCCCCACTAGGCCTCACACACAGTCCTTGTTTTGCACTTGGTTATAGTATTTTCGAGCACCATCAATTAAGATGTGGTAGACAACCTAATGAACCACTAAGATCAAAGTCGTTATGAACAGACATGTTCATTGTCCAAGATAATGCCAAAAGACTGAAAACACAGGGCCATTGCCTTATAGAATTAGGAGCCTAATGTGGTCATTAAGGGCACTTATTAATGCCAACATTTGGCATCAGCTGAAAATCACACTATCTTAAATTCAACAGTATCCCAACACTAAAGTATGACGGGTCAAAAAACTCATCAGTAAGCCATAAGCTTCTCATTGGATACATGACTTGATGCATGTTTTTGTGGATACCAATTGAGCAGGCATATGTAATAACGTCTTTGATGACCCCTATTACACATAATAAATCCTAACATCAAGCATTTTTGTAAAACCCAAGCTAGAGTTCAATCATCAAACAACTGACCGTGAATTGCTGATTTTCATCATCATCGGCGTCTCTCCTTCTATTTCTGATATCAGAATCCCTTCTGCCATCACAGATCTAGATGAAAGAAGAAATTCATTACTGCATCTAAGAAGAAAAGAAAGACATGCAATAGAGGGTAAAAAAACCAAATTATTGCTAAACAACAAGCAAATTAATCATCAACCTGCACGGAATTGGCGATAAAGGCAAGGCGGTAGGACAGGTCTCTCACTCCTAAAGCACGAAGCCCCTTCACACCTACTTGTCCAGCAGTAGCATTCTTGCGCTGGGAAGCTTCTCGACGACATTCAGCTCTCTCCCCTGGAGAGGCCAATGCCAGGATGTCTGGTATCACAACCACAGTACCTGTAAAAATCACCCTGCAAAAAAAAAGCGCATCGTGTAACAATAAGTATTCTGCCAATGACACAAACGAAATATGAGGGTGTCAGATTCAAAGTCACCAATGTCACCAGATAGAGATGGAGAACATCTTACGTGTCACCGGCCCTAGCTTGTTCGACAATGTCGTGGCGTAGAATGACATCGAGTGACCTTGGAAGGGAACCTGCAGGTATTTCTTTTGAGGTTTCCTGCATGCGAACCCTCTGCCAATCTGCAAACTTGCTCTCTTGTCTAAGCAATGCCCATTTGTTTCTGTTTTGACATGTTGCATTTATGCAGATTATGGGCTGCAATCACAATGCAGTACACATGCCCATAAGAAAATGTTCAGAAACAAGAAGCTAAGGTTATTTTTAGATTTAGTAAATGAATGTAAGATGTTTGAAGTGCAAATTAAGAAATGCACGACAAGTGCTCCAATAATTAAATCCTAAATCATTTGTCTCAAAAAACTCAATCCAAAGACGACCTAACCTAATTGTTTGTGGTAAAAACCAGAAATAATATAGGAAAAATGTAGATAAAATATAAAACAACCTCAGTGTACTTGAATTGCTGTTCAACGTTGCCAATAACAGCTCCGCAATCCAAGCATTTGAAAGTGCCTTGAAGAAGCTCAGGCCGAACCTCACTTGTTCTGGTCACAACTCCAGTCACTGATACCAATTTCCCAATTTCAGCTGTTGTCAATTCCCTCAATCTGCAACCCAATTGATAGGAGACGTTTTAGGTTTGGACATTAATAAGAGAATAAACAAATTGTTCCACTAATGATTGTAGGAGTACCTCTTTAACAAGGGGAGGTTATAGAAGGCGACATTGATGTCCTTGTTAGGATTATCATCGGTTATGAATGTGGGCTTCTGCTCCATCACAAATCTCTTGCAAGCATTCTTCAAATAAGGCTCCAACCTAAAGAACCCATAACTAATTGATTATGTACAAGTTGGATATATAACAAATAACAAACCAGAATCAGGAAATAGAAAGACCCAAAAAAAAAACAGGTGAAGAACCTGAGGTATTCGTCGGAAATGGCCTTCTGGAGGACGTCGTTGAAGCGCATGACGTGAGAGAAGTCAATGAACATGGTGTTTGACTCGTTTGGTCTCATGGCTTCAATCTCCGATTCGTAGTACGGCTCTCGAGTGTTACCATCTACCCTAAAGCTGAAAATGAAAAAATCCCCCAAATCAGAGCATACAATCAATTCCTTCCAACATTGAAAAATATTTCGATCTATAGATGGATCATGACACATATCAATCAATCAAGAGAACTGATAAAAAAAACAGAGGGCGAGAGAGAAATCAACCAACCCCTTGAGAAACTCCAAAAATATGTTCTCTACTCGAACTGCTTTCTCGTCAACCAAGTACCCACCGCCGTATGAATCCATTCCGCCGACTGGCTGACGATGTTCTTCTTCTACTTCTTATGGCCGATTCAAACCCCAAAACTAACCTAATCGACTGGAAATACTGTTACTACCTTACGTCGTATTAAGCCGTTGCTTTTGGCGCCAATGTAAGCAGCAGATTCCCGCCAAAAAGTGTACACCTCATAGGGTAAGATCCTTCCTATCGTGCGCTTTTTCGTTTGTGCGACTCCAACGTGGGCGTAATAACTCCTACAACTCTTTTTCGGGAAATACTATTTAAACTTCTGCTCAGTCACAATTATTAATTAAATAGTAGGTATTAATAAATATCGGATCCATAATAAAATCAATGATAATAATTGATTAAGTTTATATTTTAAATTTAAATTTTAAGTACATTTAATATTACTCTTATTTTTCTAACTGAGAAAATGATTGATAAATCGTAAATCTCATAAATACCCCCTTAACTATGGCCTTTGTTTTTACTTGTCACTTAATTTTTAATTATTTTAATTTACCCTTCATTATATAATATATTTCAATTGATCCCTTTTGTTAAGATTAATTATTAAATAAGATAAATTAATGGTTAATCTTAACGAAAACAAAATTTATTTCCTTTAATAGTTAATTTTAACAAATTTATCTCAATTATCCATTAATCTTAACTGAAGGGGTCGATTAAAATAAATAACATATTTCAAGGAATAAATTAAGACAATTAAAAGTTCAAAAAACAATTTAAAATAAATGTCATAGTACAAGGACATTTATGTGTTTTTTTCCTTCATTGTTCTTAGTGAAAGAACAAATAAAATAATGATATGATTCAATCTTAGAACCATTTGAATGTAATGAAGAATAACAGTAGAGATCGAGAATTAATTTGAATTCGAAGCATAGGAGCTAGCAATTGTTGATATGCTCATATTGATGACATTATTGTAGTTATGATTAAAAAAGCATTACCAAATGTGTGTCTTTAGAAAAATCAAAAGTTATCAGAGATATAATTGTACATACATATAAAGAACTATTGTGGCAATAATATGATAATATGATAATGTTATAATTGTTATTGATCAAGAAGGAAATAAAAAAAACTCGAGTTTTTTGTGTAATTGTGCGAGAATTGAAACAATTAAATTTTTACTAAAATAGTTTCATAATGTTAAGAGATTATATTTTTATGAAAATAGATAATTGGATTTCTATCAATTTTCTATTAAAACAAGGTCGTCACTTTTCGATAAAATTTTAGAAAAAAATATGACTTATTAGTAGTTCTCTTTTGGATATTAAACTTTAGTTAGGAAAATATAACTATAGGAAACATTATGGAATTTAAAATCAGTAAAACTTCCCATATAAATTGTGACACCATAAATTTCGGAAGTTCTCTTTCAACTCGTTGAACACTCATCAACTCGCGGAATACTTGTAAATACCGAATAACCTGATACTACGTCATTACACCCCATTTACCTGGATCATAACAAAACGGAATTCGAGTAGAGTCTCTTTTATGTGAAAGCTCTAGCTAATACATAATCTGTGCATACATTATTCATACGACCATTTTAAGGTCCACATCCCAAAGTTTAGGACTTAAAATTTAACCATTCATATCATCCAAAGAAAAGAATTTGAGATATGAAGGCTCGAAAGTACTAAAATTCAAAAAAACAAATTTAGGGAAGAGGTAACGGTACCTATGATAATGAGTACTGATACCTAAGCCCTCTAGAAGCTCGATAATGGTACTTGAGTCCACTGGTACAGGGGTACTGGTACTTGTGAGCATAAGTACCGGTACCTAGGCTCACTGGAAGTTAGGTACCTGTAAGGTACTGGTACCTAAGGCCCAGATTTCCTAAATTTCAACATTTAACCCTACTACTCATCCCACATCCATTCGTAATGCGATTAAATGTCTAAGTGTAGAATATCCTTACAAGCCTTTATCAAAATACAAGTTTTGTATTACAAAATATACAAGGCCAAAAGATAATAATTATACAAGGATCTTCAATTCCAAAATCTAGAGCCATAAACCGACTCTGTCATCATTACGAGGCCAAGTGGGGGCCATCAACTAGAGCTTGTCCGATACTTGAAATGTATTCCCATAAAGGGTGAGTCACGCTCAATAACATATCTCCTAAGGAGATCACTTCCAAACTCAGATGCATATGAAATTTTCCATGCAAATCATCATGTCAAGCATCCATTCAAACACATACTTTTCATAAATGAATGCTACAATTTCATGTCATACCATGAGATGAAAACTCATAAATGCAATGCAATCCGAGTCCCACCAGCTCCCATAACATATGCTATGTCATGCGTATGCATCTAGACATTTGAAGTCCCCGCCATTGATGTTAGATATCCAATGACTATTTTATAAAATCTGTGTCCACTTAGGGGTAGGTATTTATGGTCCACCAAGGGTCACCTAACTGACATGGCATCTATAAACTTCCATCAACGGTTCCGCATACACCAACATAGTTTATGGACTCAATACCAACGGAGTGCATATCCAAAATTATCGCGTCTTGCACCCGAGGGAGAATCTAGCCCTTCTTGCTAACCCCGACATGTATTTTTAATATAAACCCATGTGACTCCGCCGAACCTAGGTCAAAAATTTTCGAGCCCATGTATCAACCCACCAAGGATGGTGTTTAATTAAAAACATGCACAAACACCCACACTCATGTTAAATGTCTACGAATGTGATGCTATCCATGCATATGCAAATATAATATACAATTGCATTTCATGTTATCATGCTCATTATATCATAAAACATATAATAAAACATATCCATTATTCACAACCATTTTCAACCATGTCACATGTAATTTCAATCCATATAACATACTCGAATTTCTAAGTTTTTTTTATCAAACACTTAGTAGGCAAAAATATGTAAATACATAGGATGCCCAAACAATCTATTTTTTTTCAAATTCAAATCAAGTAAGAAATGGTTTTAACATATTCTTATACCCGTTTTCTATATTCTAGATACACTAGACATGAGGTAATACATGAGAATTCATCTCTACCCATTTTATATCACAACCTTAGGTTGAAAATAAATCTAGATAGAAAGGAACCCTACCTCTTGTAGCGTAAGCCCGCGTAGTAGAAGTCTCAAGAACCCCAAGTCAAGCTTCCAAAGCTTTAGCTCTAATTCTCCATCTTTGAGATTTCGGAGAAAATCGCAATATTTGGTATGGTTAAGTAGCTCTTGTTGCATAAAGCACCTTTAACTCTTGACTCGAAACGATTCAACGGTTGGATCTTCGTAGATCGGAGAAATAAGATGAAGATGGGGCTTTTCTCTTTTCTTTTTTTTTTCTTTCTCTCTCTCTTTCTCTCTATGGGTTGGTCTTAGGGATGAAATGGGTGAAAGATCCAATTTTCCCCCTTTTTAATACTTCTCATTTTGTGGCACTCGTTGCGCCACACATCCCACTTTAACTGGTCCAATTTTATTCAAGTCAATTAAATCTCGTTCCGTGTTAAATTTAATATATTTTTATTGAACTAAATTTAAATTACTTTTTGGGCCCTGCGAATAAAATCTAATCACGTTTATTTTAGTCGTGCAATACTCAATCGCATTGTAAAATGGAAAAAATCTGGCTGTTTCGGAATTTAACAAAAATTGGTTAGATAGCAAAATTTCGCGATGCGAATCTAACGGTGAGGTCCGTTTCATCATTTGAGTTTTAAAAATTTTGGGTTTTCAACCTATACCGTAACAACTAATTATTTTGCCCTTTTTAATTAAACTTTAATTTTTCCAAGTTTTCATTCTTCTCCCTTAAAAGGAATTTCGTCCGCGAAATTACACACATGTGCACATATAATAAAATGTAAACGTAACAAGTCATATGATACTATATGACCTCCTCAAATAGGAACGAATAGGTAGTGCAGATAGTGTCCTCACGCTCCCATGTCGCCTCCTCCACAGCACAGTGCTGCCAAAACACCTTCACCAGCCTTACAGTCTTGCCACGCAAAACTTGATCTCGACTGTCTATGATACATACCGGTCCCTCCTTGAAGGTCTCATCTATATCAACAACTAGCTCACCTCAATTCACCATATGTGTAGAATCTAGAGTGTACTTCCAAAGCACAGAGACATAAAATATCACGTGAACACTTGATAGATTTTGCAGTAATGCCAACCGATAAGTAAATGTACCAACCCTCTTGAGTACCTTAAAGGACTCGAAATACCTTAGTAACAGTTTTTCCTGCTTCTCGAACATAGCCACTCCCCTCTCAGGCATGACCTTCAAGAAGACATGATCTCCAACTTTGAACTTCAGAGGTCTCCACCGCTTGTCGGCGTTGCTCTTCTTTCAACTATGTGCCATTAAAAGACGTTTTCATATCATGTATACCTTTTCTAATGTGTCTTTGATCAAGTCCGGACCCGTGGAAGGTCTTTTTCCAACCTTCGTCCAACACACCAGAGAATGACATGGCCTCCCATAAAGTACCTTATAAGGTGTCATCTATATGCTAGCTTGGTAACTATTATTTGAGCATAATTCCACTAAGGGTAAGTGTTCATCCTAGCTACCCTTTAGGTCAAGGACACATGCTCGAAGCATATCCTCTAAAATATGGATGGTTCTCTCCAACTGAGTGTCAGTCTGGGGATGAAAAGTTACACTCATCATCAACTACATCCCTATAACTCACTGAAAACACTTCCAAAACTGAGTCAAAAAACCTGGGATCTCAATCCGATACGATAGATATAGGTATCCTGTGTAACCTGACTATCTTCCATATACACAATCTGTAGAACTCCTTTAATGTGAAGGTTATCCGTACAACCAAAAAGTGTGTTGACTTCGTAAGTTGATCCACTATCACCCACACTGCGTCGTGCCCACACAAAATTCGTGGTAAATGGGTCACAAAATCTATAGTGGCATGTTTTCACTTCCACTTAATCACCTTTAAAGGCTGGAGCAGCCCTGTTGATTTTTTGTGCTCAGCCTTGACCTGTTGATACGTGAGACACCAACTAACAAAGTTTCTAGCATATTTCTTCATCCCACTCCAGTAATATTGGTGGCAAATATTATGGTGCATCTTCGTGCTACTAGGATGCACAACAAAATGGGAGTAATGAAATTTTCTGAGGATCTCCTCTCTTAGATCCGCAGACAAGGGAA